CCAGCTGAGAGCAGAAGAACTCCCCAGCCGAGCCCAGCTTAAATCTCTCCAACCCAAAGATTTGTGAGCTAAATAAATGCTTATTGTTTCAAACCACTAAGTTGGTGATGTAGCCATCACTGGTATGTATGTATTGGGCAATGCCTTGTACATAGAGTTCAGTAAAAAGAAAGCTGCTGCATGTTTATGATACCTAAGGACCAAGAAAATCATACTGCAGAGAAGAATATCAGTTCACACAGGCATGAGGCATCCTGGTGTATTGCATCCGTGAACAATAGATACCAGGAACTGCTCATGTTGTAGAAACAAGAAAACTGATACCCAGTGAGTTGTCTGAGGTCACATAGCTCCCAACAAGGACCACTCAGGTCTTCTGAACTATGCTCTAGTAGACTGCACTGAAATCATCAGGTCCCTCAGGAAAGCCCACCTGATCCCTAGGAGAAAGGACAGAAGGAAGGAGCTAGTGATGTGGCCTAGTAGGCCTTCACATTAGGCATCTGCCCCTGAAACCTGGTCCAGCCTGCTCACTCCTCTCACCACCTGCTTTTGTCTCCAGCTATATCAGTCCCAGTAGGCTCCAGCTTTAGAACATAAACACAAGCTAACCAATGACAGGCAAGCTTATTATTAGGTAGACACTGTCTCTGAGCAAGGCCAGCTATGGGGGAATGGTGTGTAGGGCCAGGGGAACAACAGGAGTAAAGGGATGGAGACAAACACTGGAACCACATGAACGCAAGCCAGCGTGGATGTATTAGGTCTACATTGCTTAGGGTCACGGGTGGGGTGGCAATCAGCCTTTGGCAGAATGAATGTCAGAGTGGCATTCTGTCTGGCTGTAATAAGCATCAAGAGACAGATGGTAGATGAGATGGAAGATGTCAGTGTCAGAAGAGAGAGGGGTAGGTCCAAAATCCCACTTAAATGCAACCTAGACACATGCTAAGACATGCTAGGCCATCAGCGCTCCAGGAAAAAGACCTGATGTACTGTTTGCCAGTTTTCCTGGTACAACTATTCATACTGTGACCAACTCCAAGCTGCTGATGTCATGTCATTGAGCTCAGAGTTGGAAGCAATGCACAAAATCCACTCTTGCAAGAATTCCAAGTTGCCTTCACTTCATACGGTTGTAGCATGAGTAGAGACCTGTCAGGGGGCCTTGTTTTAGGAAGACCTAGCAAGCCTGGCATTGGGAGTTCTCTTGCATGCCTCAATGTATCTCATCTCCATGCAACTAAGATAGGCAGGAAGACAAGATGGGCTATATGTCATACACATGCATGGGCCTTCTCAGTCCAAAAGGCTCAGGACAGATGAGTGCCTATCGGCACCTTCTAGGAAGCCTTACATCTGAGGACAGTCCCCTGGGGTATCAGTAACTTGCCTAGGGCCATGACTAGGACACCCAGGCAGGCATGTTGTTCTAGTTCATCTGATGATCTGTGCCCAGATTCACCATGCCTTGGGGCCAGGACATGGAAACCAGAAAGACACCAAAGCTCTGGGCTATATCTCTCCACATAATCCTAGATTACTCTCTTGCTTTCTCTGACCCTCAATCTACCTCCCCCCTCATATAAAGCAAGGACTTGAGAAAAGTGTTCATGAAGGCTTTTCCCAATGATGCCACTTGCCTTGAGAATCCAGATACTATTAAGAAGTAAAGGTAGTTTGTCTCCCAGCAGTGACCAAAAACCAGGAGAACAGTGAGAAGGGCCCAGTTTTCATTAGTGAACAGGCCACTGGACTGGGCCCAGGGCTTATTTCAGACTGTACTGAAAGCTAGCAGGGGCAGCGATGCCTCCCATGGCCATGGAGTCTCCTATTGACAGAGTATGTTCACTGACAGTACCTCATTTAACTCTGGTGACAATCTAGGTAGATGGAGCAGTTCTCATTGTAGACATGGGAGGGTACGGAGGCAAAGCACCTCAGCATTGGGCAGAACACAGCACACAGAACACACATTGCACTGCAGAACTCAGAAAAATGGTAGAGACTACAGCAGGTCTAATGCCCTGGCACACTGGGGTGGATACCCATACCCCTTTCTCTACCATCTGTTCTAACTTTCAGTCTGTCTAATGCCTTGATCTGAATTTACTGGGAGGCCCTGTGCCTCGGGTATTGACCCAAGCAATAATTTGGCCTCCCTGTTACATAGAGAGAGATAGGTTTGTATTGTAAGATACAGTTCCAGTGGTGGTGGTGGGGGAGCCCCAAATCTCTGAATCTGCATTTGCTTAGAACTCTTCCAACATGGCTCCACTTCCTCAGTTACATCACCACAGCTCTGTCATCTGCTGAAAGATGGCCCAGCCCATGCCTCCACAGCCATTTCCCAACACAGGTTGCCTTGAGCAGGCAGCCCAGATGAGGCTCAATCTCCTGAGTCTTTCTCCCAGGACCACAGAGGGTCTTGTCACCAATGTTCATCAGCAATCATCCTTCTGTTCTAAGGGTGAAAGACCAAAGTAAATCACTTCCAAGTCCTATCCATAAATGCTGAGAGGCTCTTTAAATTGAAGAAAGCGAGATTGGACTGTGACCAGTCCTGATTTCTATGGGACAGGGGGTAGGGGAGGAAATGAATCCTCAGAAGAGGTGAGAGGCAGACCCTAGCATATTTCCATGTGCTATAAGCATGTTTGTAGGGCACATTCAGAGAGAGGGAGCAAGGGAGACAGCCCCTGCAGCCACAGAGGCCAAGCAGGTGTCCGTGCCAGTGCTGAGCTCCGGCGCGCAAAGGGTGAAGCTTTTAGGCGAGCAGCGGCTAGTGATCTCAGCTTCCCTTGGTCTTAATGCTCCTGAAAGGCTCCCTGTAATTGGGCATCAGTAGTTAATGCAGTATTGACTGCATTACACGCTCCCGTGCCTCCCCTCGCTAATGCCAATTGCATCACCTTGTACAGTCACCGGCTTGCTTAGCCAATAGCCGTTAAAAGCAATCCAAATCATGAATCATATGGGAAACTTTTAGCAAGACACCGCCATCCAAGGAGACAATTTACAGTTGAGTTAATCTGGGTACATTAGTGAGACATGGATTCTGGACGACAGACCAATTTATGTTGTTTCCCTGTCCCCCACCCCCCTCAGTCCTCTGTGTGGGCGAATGAATGGAGGGGCAGGGGAACTGAGTGGAACACCTGCCTCTTTGCCCAGTGTTCCAGGAGGGGTGGGGGAGCCCCCTCTTCACAGACTCTCTGCCTGGCTGAGCTTGTACAGGAGCGGGCAGTGACTGTCCTGCCACTCTGGATTTGCGACGGAGCCCTCTCAGCAGAGCGCGCTGCTGCTGAGACTAGTTGTAGCAGGCATGGATGAAGACAACCCCTCCTGCCGGGCATTAGGTGAGTGCCAGGTGTAGTCCTCGCCCTGCCATCCATGCCAGGCCTTTACTAGCTCTTAAAAGGCTGTAGTACCCACTGGGCTCTGCCATGGAACAGCACAGGGGCCTGCTCCCCACCTCCAGGGCATGATGGGACAGACCAGGAGGTCCCGCTGGCAGCAACCTCTCAAGACAAACTGAGTCAGCTGGCCAGGCTGTGTTCCTAGCAGTCATTAACAATTGAAGACTCTGCTGTCTGGTCTTCCTCAACCCAGCTCGACTCCTCCTTAAGCATTTTTTTAACTTATTAGAAATGCTCTGGGAATCATGTCTGGTGTTTAGTTCCACAATGTGCCTGCTGCTTCCTGTGGTCACCCAAGCCATCCTGCTGGGCTTTTACAGAGGCAGTTTAGACCCAGACCAGCCCTGCTCCAGCATGCCTCTGAGAACATGCTGGCACTCCCAGCGGGGTGCCTTCAGCGTCCTCGCTTGCCCAGGCCCCCACAGCTCAAGCTCTTACTGTTCAGTGTGTCCCCACTCCGGGGGCCTCTTCTCCATCAGTGAAGGTCAAATCTGATTTGCAGGGTTCAGGGCAGGAGTTTTCTTTGCTGCCCTGGGACTTCAGTCTCCCCTGCCCACACTCAAAGTCCATAGCCTGGTGACAGCCCCAGCTGCAGGTGCCAGGGAAAGGGCTGGTTTTCCAGGAGAGTTGGAGCGTGCCTCCCCTTTTGCTGACAGGGAGACTGGGCAGCATTTAGAAAGCCCAGACACTGAGTTCCAGTAAAGTGGAGATGGCTAGGCCAAGAGCAAGCGTCCAAATGAAAGCAATTAATCTTAAAACCCGAAGTTTAACCATTTGCAAAACAGATCTTTCTGTCTCTGTGGTGACCCTTCACTGCTCGACCTAATGGATTACTTTATTAATAATGCACTGTGCTTAAAAGCAAAAAAAAAAAAAATTTTTTCTGACGATTCAATACTTCAGAAAGTCTCTTAAACCCGTTGCTAGGGCAAAACGATTGATATTTTATTATCTTTCAGAAGTGCAACATGAAAGCCCTGCAGCCCAGCAGAGAGAGGGCTTTGGTCCTCTGTAGCTGGCAGACCCGACTTCAACCAGAAGAGCCCAGCCTCTCTCAACAAGATGCTGCCGGGCACAAAAAAAGGTGTTGGAGGAGACTAATAGGAGCCCCGAGGTCCTGCGGCTGCCAGACAATGGGTGTCGTGTGCAGCACTGAGGAACACACCCCTAAGAGCCTAGGGCACCACATCTGCCACACAGTCCAGGTGGCCACATTCTGGGAGGGCAGAAGTGTATATGAAGTTAGGCAGTAGGTACCGAGAGGCAGCTGAGTGTATACACAGCTTTTCTCCATCCCCCAGTGAAGATGCCCAACCTTCAGGACCCCAGCACCTGATTTCCTTATGTTGTCCTGGATCTCTGAGACCAGCAGTGCCAATGGGGAAGGGCACCATGTTGTTTGATCGCACAAGTAAGGGGATGCATGGGCATCACATGCCCAGGATATCCAATTACACAGCAGTCTGAAGGTCTGCAGACACCCACTGCCTTTAGCATTGTCCCCAGAGCCCAAGCCTTTCTAGGGCACAGATCCTGGGTAGAGGTGGAAATGCCGTTTTGCCAACATAACAACTAATGTACCTGGACAGAAGGCTCCTACACACAAAACTCAGGTCTTCTGGGTTCTAGGCCTGGGGAGCCAAGAATGTGGAATAACTTTGGTCAAAGATGCACCTTGATTTCCACTTGCTTCTCATAGTGACAGTCCCTGTAGACACCAAAAAAAGGACCCTTTGCACCCTTTTTAAAAAAAGAAAACTCTGGAGCTGGGCACGACTGATCTGAAGTAACACAGGATAAGGAAATACTGACGAAAGCAGCCAAATCAATGGCTCTTCTCTCCCTGTCTGGCCTGATCCCAGGCCTCTCCTTCTCCTTTGCATTCTATATAAAACAGCTCCAGCCCAGTGCTGATGGCCTTCTGGAGCTCCAGGGGAGGGTCTGTGAATAGAGGAGAATCTGCTGTTATCCTCCAGCCAGCCCAGAACCATCTAGAGCCCCTCTTTTTATCTCTTCCTTCATTCATGCCAAGAACCAAGCAGTCTTTGGGGGACTTCCTGGTCCCATGTCTTCCCAGCATACATCTACCCAGGTCAGACATTTTAAAGGCACTCTTCTGCTGATCTCTCAGAAGGTATAGTTACACTGGGATAGCTGGATGAAACAGCAGCCAAGTGAACATCCGGTATGACCTTGAACAAGTCACTTAACTTTCTGGTTTCAGCAGTAGCCATGGCAACAATGTCTCCATGGACAGAAGGCACAGACCCAGTGGAGGATTCCTGGGGATGGATTCCTGGAGATGTCCCATTACTTCTAGCCTTTCCAGTCCCCACCCAAATGCCAGCAACAGTGGTCTTGCCAACAGTCTTGCCCAGCTCTCCCTACAGAATCTATAGAACATACAAGCCTTCCCTACAGGGGCCAAGGGCCTGAGACAGCACTCCCTGGACCTTGGTGCCTGTCTTAGGTCACAGGACACATGCTGCGTTTTACCGCCAAGGCAGCCAGTATTCCCCAACCTTTGAGGCCACTTACTGCAAGGCACTCCCAGCCAAAAAGACTTTGGGGTCTTTGAGACCACCTGCTAGTGGCGTACTATAGCCAGGTGACCCTCTCAGCTCCGAAGCCCTACTGAATGCACCCAGGCTCTTGATCATACATCCGGGCCACCCTCAAACCACTCCCTCTGGAGTGCTACTGGTCCGTGGCGGGACGATTCTTCCTCTGGCTCAAACTCCCGCCTTCACATTCAAGGAGACGTGAGGTAGTGGCCAGCACAGGAGACGTCCCTCTCACCGAGTCATGCCCGTGGGCAGCTAGCTGTCCCCGAGGGCCCAGCTGGCCTTCCCCCCTCTGCCAGGCATCCCAGCTTTCGCGCGGTCCTCCGCGCTCCCGCTCGCCCCCAAGCTCTCTAGTCCGATTGATTCTCCCCGAAGCTGCTGATTTGCTGGGCGCTCAGCGCCTCTCGAGTTACGCGGCGGGCGCGGGGGTGATGGCTGCGGTGAGCGAGGAGCAGCCGCAGAGACCAAACGCTCAGCGTCAAGCGCCAGGGCGCGGAGACCAGAGGGCAGCCCGAGCCTCCACTCCTCTCCTCGGCGTACCGCCTCGCCCAGCCCGCCAGCCCGGGGACCGCGGGACCTGGGGGTGCTAGGCCAGGACGTCGCCCACCCCACCCGGGTCTGTCCTCCCGCCCCGGGCTGCCGGCTGGCTCCACAATCCGGCGTGGCCCCGCGTCTGTGTGCCTGGGTCCCGGTGCGTGGCATCCCGCGCGCCGTGGCGAGGGCGTTGGGGGCGTCGGGATCCCTGCCCGCCACCTACCGTCCTCCTTGTCCAGCACCATCATCTCGGGCGCTCCGTGTCCAGCCGCTGTTCGGCTCGGCCGGGAAAAGGGCGCCGACTCCGGGCGCGCTTCGGCTGGGAGGCCGGTCCTCCGGCAGTGAGCGGGCTCTAATTACCCGCTTGTCCGGCTCTTAACCTAGATTGCACTCAGCTAGAATTACATTCAGGAGTGAAGCACTTCGCAGATACAAAAGCAGTCTCACCTACTTTTGTGCCTCAGAATTGCAAGGAACTACGAACTGCAATTTAGAGAGAGAGGGAGAGAGAAGGGGGAAGAGAGGATCAGAGCCGTTTCTTTGATTCTCACCTTCTAAATGGCTCAATTTGCCCAGTATAATCTGTCTTAATGTAATTGCATTTGATAGCTCATAACCCTGGCTCTGGCAACGACACAGCTTTCAGCCTCATAAAGTGTTTTCCCCTCGGATTTAATCTGAATCTCAATCTGAAATTATATTCAAAGAGATGGGGGAATCTCGGCGGCCGACTCCCGCTGCCTTTCTCCCTCAATGTATGAGGTTTGCACTCCTGCTACTGAATAAATGCACACATTTCCCGAGGCCCCCCTCCCTGCCGGGTTAATGGGGAGTGGAGACGCGCGGTTGCCCGGCTCTGCAGCGCCACCTGGAGGCCTCTCCGCTCCAGGTCGGCGAATGACTGCGCTTGGGTCCCAAGGTTTCTTCCTGGTCTCCCAGGGCAGTCTGGTGGACCCTTGCCTGTCCCCTTCAAGCCTGGTTTCTGCTTCCTCACAGAAGGGCTATTTCTCTGATCATAACTCCTCTCTACCAGCTCTGCCGAGGGTTTCTAGTTGATTCTATAGTTGTTTGGCAAAGTTAACTCCTCTGCAGGGCACAAAACCTCCTACTGTGAGTCCCACAGTGACTATGCCTGATCACAGCAGCGTCTGGTACCCTCATCCCCACCACCCACAGCACCCTGATTCTGTGCAGAGGGTAAGTCCTGTTTCAGCTTCTCTCTGAGCAAGCATAGATGCCTGAAGGCGTTTTTCCTTCTGCAAATATTTACTGAACACTTACTATGTGCCACACAGTATTCTAAGGCTCTGGGGATACAACAGAGAACAAAACAAAGATTCTGTTGTGGCGCTGACAATTCTTGCTCTGTAACTCATACAGCAGGAAGCAAGGCAGGCCCAGTGCTTCTCCTCTTAGACCACATTTCCAGAAAAACCCGGTCCAGGCTGCCTACTCCAGGAAGACCACCTACTTTTAAACCCCAAGAGGTTTTTTTGTTTGTTTGTTTGTTTCCCTAAATATTATAGAGCTCTAAAATTGAGTGAAAATTATTTTCTTCAGCTCAAGAAGGGCTCCAGATAGATATGTTTGGAGCTTGGTCCTGAACGTGGCTCTGGCAAGGTGTAGGAAGCTGAGTCTCCTGGGGGTGGGATCGATGGGAATCGATCCATTTGTTGCCAATTAATAAATGACAAAGCTGGCCAATCACTACACTTTCTGCCTCAGTTTCCCTGTTTATGAACTGGTCCCCTCTGTTCCGTCTCTAAAGGTGTCATAAAAAGGTAAACTGGTGCTCCAGACAATGTGGGGGTGGGGCACTACCTCATACAAAGGAGACCTGGAGGCTAAGTCTTGCCCCTTCCATCCTGGGAGGCCCCCATACTTTACAGGAGTATGGGGAGGGGCTGTAGCCCATCCTCACTCCAAGGCAGGGAAGTCAGGCTTTGAGGAAACTGAAGTGCAGCTGTTTCTAATGAGATGCCTCATCTGCAGCTCAGAGGGTTTCGCTTTCCCCTTCATCTTGAATACTTAATCCTAATAGTCCTTGAGTATATTTGATGTTAAATATATCATTTTGCTCAGACTCGCTGTCCCTCAGGACTGCAAGCTTGATCTCTCCCCTGCCACTGCAGCCAGAGCTGTGCCCTCAAGGTGTGAGGGAAGCTTCATTATTGCTGCCGCCACCCATCTGGTGCAGCCCCCCACCCCGCTCTGAACCCAAACCAATCAATGTAGCAAGTGCAGGGCCCGGCAAGGGCAGCATCTTGAAGAAGAAACCTCTGGGCTATCTGGAGACATAAGGTCTGTAGTCTTCCTCCTGATTTCCAGGTGCCCACTTCTTGTTTGGGGGGGTCTGACCCAGACCCACAAATCAGGACTCAATTAGCTGGAACCACATTCCCACTCTCTTGTCTGTGCCTCAACTCACCCCAGCTTCCAAGGTACCCAACTGGCAGCCACATGGCTGACATCCCTTTGAGGAGTCAGGACCCCTGCTTCTCAAGCCTGAGACACCAAGCAGTGAGCTACAGAAGCAGGTAGGACATCTCAGCAGGGGACCGGTGCTATAGGTGAAGACTGCTTGTCCTATTACACTCTGGCTTCCTTTACATGCTTCCTTTACACCCTAGCTATGAGCATGGCATCCCAATTCGTTCTGAGGGGAGAACTCAGCAAGTCTTAGGGGATTTAGAGAATCTTGACGCTCACACCTAGGAAGGATCCAGATGTGACTTCACTTATGGGGTGGCCTTAAGCTCATAGGTGGGTCCCACTCTCCTGCCCTCCCCCTCTCAGGCAGCTTCCAGGTCCAGGGACATGCCAACAATGTCTGAGTGGAATCCTAAGATGCCCTGGGGCTGGCTGGCAGAGGCAGTTTTCACTCAGTACATTCCACAGGTGGTGAGCCACTTCTCTTCACACCACTCCAAGAGTGCTCCAAAATGCCCTTGAAATGCCTCTGGGGACAGCTGGGGGACACCAGTTATTCAGTCCTCAAGGCTGCCTGGAAGAGAATGGGGGTGGCTGCTAGCTATCTTACATATTTCTGAACAGGTCCCCGCAGTGCATCCTTGTGCCTGGCAGAAACATCTAGAGAAAAGGGTGCCTGCATTGGGGGGGGGGGGGTCGGGGACGGGGACGACAGTTTCACTTGATGCCTAAGGGCCCAGGCAGACGAGATAATCCAGAACTCTTCAGAGGCTGGCCAACATGCCTGAGCCTAAGGGCCCTGATCTCAGCACAGTGAAGTTATCTCCAAGATGGGGTGACAGACTGGCCTCCCAAGTGGTGGTTGGAGAGGTATTCAGGGTGACGAGGACTCTTTCCCTGTGCACATGACAGTTACAGGACAGAGTAAACCATTATCTGCAGTGTCATCGGGATGCCTGCTGGCCAAGTTCGGATGCTCCCCCTTTGCCTCATACACAGAAGCAGCCAGTGCACAGGAATTCCCAACCAACTTATCGTGGAGAAGTGCGGTCGGCAAACTCCCTCTTTGAGATTCTAGAGAGCCCAGAGAGGCCTTCTCAGAAACTGCAGTCACAAACTGTTAGGCCTTAGACCTGCCTAAGCTAAATCAGCACAAATCTACTGTGCCCCTCCATGAAAACCACCTACCCCTGTACAAGAGGCCCCAGACAGCCAGGGGTTTAGAAGGACCTAGTTCTGCCCTAAGGCTGAGGGGTTCCCTGTGCTACAAGAGTCTGTGTGCTAAAATAGACTGCCCTGGACAAGCCAGGGCCATTGATCACCACAGGGGAGACGGTAGGATAAGACAAGTAACTGAAACCAAAGAGGAAGCCAGCCAGCCAGGCCCTCTTCCTAGTGATCAGCAGCTCCCAACCCTACATTTCTGAGTCTCCTGTCCTACCATGTCCTACTCCAGGCATGACTGTGTGTCTGTCCTCAGCCCTGATGCAGAGATCGCTTCTCAAGATACCCACGATGGAGGGGGTGTTAGTTTGATCCAAGGGTAGACCTAAATTTTGTGGGGCCCAAAGTTTACAGTAGTTTTAGGGGTGGGGGTTCTTTAAGAAAAGGAGTATGATTCAAACCAGCCTAGGTTAGTTACAGTGTTTTTGACCAGTCTGGACTGCAGATCAAGACCCTATCAACTGATCCTGGTCCCCCCAACCCAACCCACCTGGCCCAAAATAAGAGGAATATGATATTGTTAATACAAACTGATCACCAGGAATCTGGCAACAGAAAGAGACCCCGAGGATCCCAAACTTCTCTTGGCTAGTCCACCCATCTATCCCAACCATCAGGACACTCACTAAAGTAGCCTGGGTGAACTGATGGCATGCAGTCTCCCTGCCCTGCAGGGTGACGAAACAACATCACCCACCAAGTAGGCTCTGAAGTCACAGACCTCAGTAAGATGGGAAGAACCCAAGGACCCACGCTGGTTAGAATGAGCCTTCACTTGCCAAGTTCTCCGAGCACCCCCCTGGGGGATCCCTTCCATACCGAGGTATGGAAAAAAAAAACAACGAAAATACTCAGAGAGGCCCAGAAACTGGCTGGTGATGGGTACTACGAGGAAGCCTGTGCCCCATGGGTCTAATATGCTCTCCAGATGAGAGCAGGAGCAAGAAAGTTCCTAGCCAGAGCATGCCCTATTCACAGGCTCTAGGACGCGGGGCGGAGAGGTGGGGGGGGGGGGGAACTTCCTCACAGCGGGATGCAGAGCCTGGCACCTTCAACACATACTCTCTTACACACACATACACACAAACACACGCACCACTACACACACAAACACACACCACTACACACACACACACACACACACACACACACACCAGGGCACACATCCAGCTTCCGAGCTTCCGGGAAGCCGCCAACCGGCTCCAAGCAGCAGTCGGGACCGGTGTCTGGGCCTCTGCCACTGGGGTCGAGGTGGCCTCGACAGAACCTGCACTGCTCCCAAGTGTCCCCGGGCACCTACCGTCCTCCTGGTCCAACACCATAGTCCCCAGGCGGCTCCAGCCGGGCGCAGGCGGAGGACGCAGAGGGACTCGCAGCTCGGACTGTCGCCAACGGGGCGCCTGCGCTGCTTCCCGCGGTCGCGCGTGGGC